AATTTATTCAAAATGTTGCTAACGCCATGTGACGTTTACTTTCACGGTACAGTAATCAGGTAAACTTTTCTTTCAGAAATCTCACTAATTTTATTATGATATCTACTTCTAAAACTGATTTTATTATGGCTCTCCAAATGCGCAGGAGTAAGGGTTATTGTAAGTACCAACAGACAAATATGTAGAAATCGATCACATGAGCAAATGAATAGCCTGGTTAGAAATCCGTAGTATATTTAGAACGTATGAAATTTTAGACTCAGTCTCTTTACTAACTGGCACTCAACAGACTAAATTTAATACAGATAGCTAGTCGCTGGTTGGAATCCCACCGCTTCCCTAATTTTCATTTCACCTTCAATCACCACCTAGTTTGAGTACTAGTCTGGTAAACCACGGTTGTCTCAGAAAGTCAAAATGATAATAAATTCATACGTTTCTATTATTGACTGCCAAAATCATTATATTAACCATCTTACTATCACTCTAACAAGACGTTCCTCTTTCGTGATGACAAAACAATAATGTACAGCATTAAAGTACAGCTTAAATGTACCATTTCTAGTTTTAGCAGTAGATAATAGAGGTTAGGCTTTCAAGGGGTCGTGCTTTTCCTCAGTATTGCTGATGACTGTCGTAGATTAAAAAAGCTCTACGTCATATATGGTTAAATAGTCTATGACTACCCACATCAATCAACAATGATTACTAGCCTGAAAGAAATAATCTAAACAGTAAACTGTTTTTCCCCTCATTCATGATACAAGGTTGAGAAAACGGTAGCTGGACTGAATCTGTGCAAAAAACCGACACATTTAAACCATCCTAGTTTTGGCTAGCTGGTTCAGAGGACTGGTGACACTTAAAATCAAGGATTTTCCCAAATTATTCATAACAAGTCGTCAATTTTGTATTCAACGCACTTTTAGTTTGGTTGTGAGACTTTGCATCCAGCAATAGTATTGACTTTAGTAATCGAGATCCAACTTTACACAATGGTTTCACACTCCATATTATGTCATTCTACGCTGACGTTTGTTTATTCACATTTCTTCATCAAACTACTAAGCTGAAATGAAGAACAACGCGAAAGACATTTGTGTAACTTATTTAAACACTCTACTTCCTGAATTAAAATGCTTAAATTGTACAGTTTAGAGGATTATAAGTGATAACATTCGTACATGAAACAGACTAATTCACTTTGTGTACGTCAGGAAGCGTATTTAGTAAACTGTTCAAAAATGAAGTGTATTTGCAAAACCCTAATAATATAGGAAAGTGAATATCAGACTTTTGGTGACCTCGTTGGAACTACTTCCCCTGAAAGTAAATGCTGTGAAAGTTATCGGACATTTTTACTGACAAACATAGTTACCGATTACTCTATCTCTCTCTTTTTCACTGTTTCTATAACTTTCTAAAGCAGTTTTTCAGTCACAACTGAAGTATCAGTATGACTGTCTGAGATAGCTTTGGTATATTACACTTGTATTATTGATACTGGGTGATGATTGGAAGTGAAATGAAGATCTGGGTCACATCAGGGTTCGAACCAGAGACTTCCAGGCAACTGATTCGGAAGGTATAGTAACGCGTCATGAGTCCACGTAGTAGTTGAGCAAACCCTTGGTGACAGAAGTGAAATTAGGTCTCGCAGCTTAGTTAGTGGAATATCAAGCCAGAAACTCAGAGGTCGCTGGTTCGAATCCTACCGCATCTGAGGTTTCCACTTCACCTTCCGTCATCACCCAGTATCAACAGTTAGAGTAAACAAATATTTTAACACTACTAATAACAACATGGTGTACATTTGTTGACAGATTTCCAATTCAAAATACATGTATATATGTATCGTTGTTACTTTCAAGCTAGTGGAAGCCATATTATAGCAAACCAAATAAATATTCCTTTTTGTAAACAGTTTCTTCGAATAAATTGGAACAACATAACTAGAAAATGTTGAGAGCTTGTTGTAAATTTAGTTGCCATAACAATCTGATCAAATTTATATGCGTGCGATACTCATATTTTTCATTCCTTACCCGCCTCTTTCCCCACCCACTACCATCACCACCACCTCAATTGCCTTTGTGTCCCATGGGGTAACAACAGCCAACAGGATCATTTCTGAAGCGTGCTTATCGGATTTATAGTTTTCAAAAATAGACATGCAATAAAAACTTCAATTAAGGGTATATACCAGATCAAGTGCTGGTTGCCAAATGACCCTAGTTGAACCAATCGAAATAACAAGCAAACGAACAACGCGAAGGAGAACAGTGAAACTAGTAAGAGAGAAACGATTGAAATGGAAAAAATATGGGAGAGGTTTTTAGATGATAGGTTAGTTATTAATGTGGGACGAGGGGATCACAAATAATAACTGTGACTGTATAACAGACTGAAGTGAATTGAAGATTTTTATTTCTAATTGCGGTGAATAACAGATTTCGATGATTAGTAAAATATTTAGTGTAACTATCGCAATATCGTTATAATATTATGAACACAGCTGTTCATATATTTCCTCATAATAACTGTAAGGTTATGTAAGATAAAATGATAGTAGTCAAGTGAAGTTGATTACATTTTGAACAGGCAAGTAATTCACAAGCTTTATTTGTGAGAACAAAGCATGATTTAAAATAATGTGTTAAGCTTTGGTCTTATATATGTAACCGTTTAGATTGATAGATAGTAATAATTACGTATCACCTATGCCAACCAAAATCATTCATAGACCGTTAACAAGGGGAACATAGATGCCTTATGTGACTGTGCTCATTACCGATTCATCGCGAGAACAAGAGTGGTTACAAACACCTGTTAACAAAGTGATGACATACAAGGTAGCTGGACAGAAGTTTATCGCCGATGACTGGATGGAAACTGTTTTCTGCATTGTGTAGGTTTATACATCCGATAATATATACACTGAACGGCGATGTTCTTCGACGGAAATGTCGACGGATAGTAAGGAACAATTAAAAGGGATAAGAGTGAAAGAGATTTTAGAGGGTATATAAGAACTGGAAAAATGAAACGTTAAGTCTGCTTACTATATAGAGCGAGAAAAGCAACAGGAAAAGTCTTTTATAAGTGAGACAGGTATCACATATGTAAAAACCTGATAGAAGTAAGCCATAATCACTTCAATGAATTGTCTGGTAAGATTTTTGCTCATGAAAGCGGCTGTGAAATATGAGTTAAAACATATATGAAATAAATTCTGGATTGGAAGGTAATCTGTTGATAGATACACATAACTAGTATTAGTCAACCTTTATTCTACTAGACTTAAATTATTTTTATTCATATACTTGAGATCATACTTCTATGGTAGTGACTTACTAACATTGTCTTATTGGGTACTGGATAATGCAGGCAATCAGTAGAAAGTTTTTTGAATTTATGAGTTATCCTCATACTTAGTAAAAGGGAGGTTAGAGCCAGTTGTTGAGTCTATGGAGTGTCAGCTAATTCCTCTAGTTCAAATTGTAAAACTTATTTAAAATAAGGCACCATATGTACTGAAATCCAGTAAAGAGAATTCCCCAGACACATTCATCACTAGTAATCACCTACATTTATCCTGATTGCTAATTGTACTCATTTTTGTATATTGCGTATGAATGAGGGAAAATTCATAGCATACACATTTTAATATGAACTTTTTCCGGTTATCAACATAGTATACACGTGATGTGTTACTATGGCGGTTATAATATGTTTACTCTATGAAGGTGAGTTAGTATAAATTTCACAGAAAAATGATTTCCCTTGATAGTTCATGTTACTGTTGCCTCAACCATCCTGGTGATGTTCGATCGTTATTAGGATATGAGATTTATATCACCAACCGGTTAACAATAAAAAAAGCAGTGAATGAGGAGAGAAAAGAAAGATGAATGAAGCAGCCAAATAGGACTGAAGATTTATTTGTAATCAAAATTCACTTTCAATCACTGCAGAAAAAAATTTCTTTCATTTATGACATAATGGGTATAGAAAGAGGATTTTAAAAATAACCCGCATTAGTTTACTACTCATCTCCACAAATCGTAAACATTTGCTTTATTGTTATTCTAATGATGGTAAGCAGCTACCTCATATACAGGAAATTACGGAATTGAGTAAAAAGCATGGTTACTAAGCTTTCAAAATATAGAGGAAAGTAAACCGAAAGGTTTAAGTGATCAAGAGAGTAGGAAACAGAAATGGAGTAGAGGCGGGGGTGGAAGTTTCATATAGTCAATGGATTAAATTCGCCTGTTGGATGAACCTTTGATCAAAGAAAACAAACAAATGACTACAGAGAATTTACAACAGGTTTACACAGTCAGTTTTGGCTGTATAACCAGTCATTAGCGAAGTGGTCACTAAGTGACAATCTGAAAGCTTATACTTTTTCACTTATCCTATTACTAATGTATTTAGATGTCACTGTGTTACGATGTAGAATTGTGAGAATAACGATAATACTTAATGATTGATAGTCGTGGGTTGAGACGGTTCTTTAAGGGTGATTTGCAACAGAAAGCAAAAGACTGGTAACCAACTGAATATATGGTATCTCGGACTGAAAACCTTTATCAGAAAAAAGGGAACACTATATATAGTAATTAAAATAACCCTGGAAGACAAGGGATAATAATTACATTAAAAAAGGCATGAGCCAATCAAAACACTGGGGGGTTATGTGAAGTGCAACCCACGTGGGGTAAAAAGTGTACTATCAAATACGGTTCAAAAGTATCAAGGGTGTGTATGGAATATAACGGGTATAGGCATAACACACTGAAATCATGAAATAGTCCCCAGTCATTGAAATTTTGAGATATGAAGAAAAACGGGAAATATCAGATAATTACTACCTGAAACCAATAGTATAATCTTTAAACATGTCGATTTGACTCTCAGGGTGGTGAGTGAGAACTGGTGAGGAGTCATAAATCGGGATGAATCAGTACTCCATTGCCTCAGGCTTTTAATGGCTTCCCAATTTACGTTATTCCGTGATGAAAGTTACTTCATATAAAAAGTCGCTACGAATTAACACTTAAATGACCATTCGGTGGTCATAGATGACTTGCTACAAGATGGATTTCTCAATATTTGAGTGCGAAATCGTGATGCATGGGACTAGTCAAGTAGAGTATCAGAACATATATTGTCAATGGCATTGAATGATGACTATGTTTTACCGTAATCTCACAGAAGTGGGTAATAGTGAACCAGTGACTAGACAGTGACGACCATGGGGTCGATCCCACGTGGTGTTGCGAGTGAGCAATCTTGAGGACTATTACAATGGGGAGGGGAACAGCTGTAAGATGCTCCCAAGTTTCCGACGATTCTTCAACTGATATCTGGTTATTTTCACATAAATTAAGCAGTTTTCCTTCGATTGCAATAATTTTCTTAGTATCACTTCCTATCATGATTTATTATTGTAATAGAATTAATTATATGGCACTTACAATAACCATATTATAAAAGTCGAACTGATCACACTACTCCTATCATGATTTCGGACAAAAGTATTGACTAACTCTGTATCATTAGTCTCTTATAAGATCTATACAGTTTTTCAGTGAGGTTATAATAACAGATCAGGTTGCGTAGCCAAACAAATGCAATAAAATTCTAACAAAATATTGAGTGAATAAAACAGTAAAAACTGTAACTACTCAGATTGGGTTGCACAACATACAGCCGAAAAGTCAGACATATGGTTATAGTGATTTTTAACACCATTTCGGTAGCAAATGATATTTCTGTACGAAGACTGAAGAAGCAGTAAAGTGACAAGATGCATATTATGGCTTCTGCGGTTTTACGTGTCCTTCGACCTACGGTAGCAGACGGACTTATTGTCTTGTGCCTCAGTAGCCTAGCCTATAACGTTTTGGCATTTGAAGCGATGGATCCTGGATTCGAGTCTCAATGGAAACAATACAACTCACTGGGATGCAGGTATATTCAGCTAAAAAGTTTCAAATAGGATGGATCGCATGTTCTGGATTCCACTTATAGCCATCAGCGTGTTTCACACCAAAATGTATGGCGTTTCTGTCGATTGAGAAAATAGTGTCATGTCTTATTGTTTGATTTTTATTAGATGTAGGAGTGATTTTAAGTAAACCAATGCTCAATGTAATAGTAAGTGATTTCCAGGAATTCAAACATTAAATATTCATATCAAGAATTCAGGCTAATATTCTTTTTTCATTTGAATAAAGAAATATACACAAGATCCCTCTCATATTATTGTTATTATTACTTACTATTTAACATGGCAACCTCGCCTGGTTAACTAGTTTACTAGTTACTAGCCGGTCCTAAGCCCGGGTATACAGGGAAGGTTGGGCATAGGGCTAGCAACCCTACCCCGGAAAACAAATCTAACCGCTAAAGAAACTTCAAAGCACAAACAAAATATAAAAAATGAAAACAAAATTATTCCCCGCTGGAATCGGAGAGGCGAAATGACGCCAGTTGGTGAAAGCCTTCGGGAAGCCAATTGGCCGATGTGTCTTCTCTCGATGAAAGCGAAAGTAAACGTGGGGACATGGAATGTCCGCACCATGTTTGAACCCAGTAAGGCAGCCCAGATTGCAAAGGAGATGAGAAGGTATCACATCGAAGTGCTTGGGATTTGCGAAAGCAGATGGAATGGGAGTGGACTCTCCAAACTGTTAACTGGAGAATCAATAATCTACTCCGATATTGTCACCCAGACGCCAACCACGAGCACACTGAGGGAGTGGCTATCATGATGTCCTCAAGAGCATCGAAGGCTCTCATGCAGTGGGAACCAATCTCCTCCAGGATCCGGATCATGACAGCAAGATTCAACTCAAAAGGAAGAAAGGTCACAATCATACAATGTTACGCACCTACAAATAATGCAGAGCAAGAGAAAAAGGAGGATTTCTACAGACAACTTCAATCAACACTGGACAAGACGTCAGTTGGCGATATCAAAATTCTGATGGGCGACATGAATGCCAAACTGGGAGGGGACAACACAGGAAGAGAACTAACCATGGGTCGAGAGGCGCTAGGTGAAATGAATGAGAATGGAGAATTGTTTGCAGAATTCTGCGCATTCAACGATTTGATGATTGGAGGCAGTGTGTTCAGGCACAAAGATATCCACAAAGCGACATGGATTTCACCAGACACCAGGACACACTAAAAATCAAATCGACTTTATCTCAATCTCAAGAAAATGGAGACGCAGTCTACTTAACACAAGGTCAAGAAGAGGAGCAGATGTAGGTTCAGACCACTCACTGTCTAGTGCAAGCAACCTAACTTCCAAATCAAGTTAAAAGCCTTCAAGGAAGCTGGTGATAGACCTCAATTCAAGTACAACACTCGGAAACTGAAGGATGAAACTACAAAGGAGATCTTCAAGGCAGCCATCAAGACAAAATGGGAGATATCGAGGAACATCCCTGAAGAAACCCGTGTGGAAGAACACTGGAAGTCTTTGAAAGCTATGTGGAAAGAAACCTGCACAACAGTATTAGGAAGGAAGAAGAAAGAAGACAAGGAATGGATCTCGACGGATACCTGGAAGCTGATAGAGGAGAGGAGGATGGTGAAACAGAAGATAAACCAGTGCAAGGATGCTCAACGACAAGAGGAACTGAGCACAATGTATAAAACACTGAACAAAGAAGTAAAGAAGAGTGCACGCAAAGACAAAAGACACTTCTACGAAAGACTGGCAATTGAAGCAGAACAGGCTGCAGGTAAGAGAGACCTGACGACATTGTATCAAATAACCAGGTTGCTATCAGGGAAGAGACCAACACAGATGAAACCAATAAAAGATGAAGAAGGAAATTTAATTACGAAAGAAGAGAAACAGAGGAAACGATGGGCCGACCACTTCAAGAAGCTCTTGAATCGACCACCACCTGCACTTCGTCCAGAAATACCACCTGCAGCCGCTGAATTACAAGTGAACATTAATCCCCCAACGAAAATGGAAGTCCTGAACGCCATAAAGCTACTGAAATGCGGGAAAGCAGCAGGACCAGATGGAATACCGCCAGAAGCACTGAGAACAGATGCAGAGACAACAGCGGACATGCTCATACCACTATTGCAGAAGGTGTGGAAGGAAGAGAAGGTACCTGACGATTGGAAGAAGGGTTACCTTGTCAAACTGCCGAAGAAAGGAGACCTCAGTGCTTGCAAGAACTGGCGTGGAATCACTCTCCTGTCCACCCAATGCAAGCAAAATATTAAGCCGCATCATCCTGGAGAGGCTTAAAGATGCACTGGATTCAAAACTACGACCGGAACAGGCAGGCTTCAGGAAGTACAAATCATGTGCAGACCAAATTGCAACGCTTCGCATCATCATAGAACAGAGCATAGAATGGCAATCAGCTCTCTACCTCAACTTCATCGACTTTGAGAAGGCCTTTGACAGCGTCGACCGAGAAGTAATTTGGAAACTGCTTCAATACTACGGAGTACCGCAAACCTTTATCCGCCTCATTCAACAACTATATGAAGATGCCACATGCCAGCCAAGTAATCCACAATGGGAAGCTCAGTGATGCCTTTGAAGTGAAGATGGGAGTGAAACAAGGTTGCCTACTATCCCCTATGATATTCCTTATTGTGGTGGACTGGATCATGCAGCAAACAGTGGGGAGCGAGAAGAGGGGGATACGCTGGCTGGACTGCGGAAAAGAACCTAGAAGATTTGGATTTCGCCGATGACTTATGCCTAATGTCACATAAACTTGAAGATCTGCAGGCAAAAACTAACAAGTTGACAGAAGAGGCAGCGAAGACGGGACTTCAGGTGAATATAGAGAAGACAGAAGTGATGAAGATACCGCACCGCCACCACCACCATCAACAACAACAACAACAAACTCCAATCACCGTCAACGGGAGAAACTTGAAGGAAGTAACCTCCTTCACTTATCTAGGAAGCACTGTTTCAACTACAGGCGGGACGGACGAGGACGTCAAAGTCAGAATCGGAAAAGCAAGACAGGCGTTCATTAGCCTGAAACCAGTGTGGAGATCTTCTGCACTCAGCATGCGGAACAAGATACGGATTTTCAACACCAACGTCAAGTCAGTGCTCTTGTATGGCTCAGAGACTTGGCGCGTCACGAAAGGTATTTCCAATAAACTACAGACATTCATCAACAACTGCTTACGCTCGCTGCTGAAGATCAGATGGCCAGAAAAAATAAGCAACAAGGAACTCTGGGAACGAACCAACCAAGAACCTATCACGCAACAAATATGCAGGAAGAAGTGGAGATGGATTGGCCATGCACTGAGAAGGCCGACTGAGGACATCACGCGTCAGGCCCTCGAGTGGAATCCCCATGGGAAGCGACGAGTTGGACGTCCGAGGGTGACATGGAGGAGGTCGTGCGAGGAGGAAATGAGAGCTTATGGGCTGTCGTGGGACCAGGTTCAAAAGATCTCAGAGAACAGAGGTCACTGGAGGCGTGCTACTGAAGCCCTATGTTCCACTAGGAACCCAAGGGACTTATAATAATAATAATAATAAATTTAACATGGCATTTCGAAGTAAAGCAGATAAATGACTTATTCAGTGTTCTGGACGAATGTTCAATTGAAATTGCTGTGTCAATGAACTATCAGAATGTACAGTATGAAAATATGAAGTCTTTGATTAAGAAATCGTCCAATTCTTATTAACACCTACTCAAAGCGTAATGTATTAAATTTTGTACTCATCAGCTTTTCACTATTATTCTGCTCAATTACTCGTTTATCTGAATGACATGAATAAACATGTTAACATGTTGAGTTATTCTACTAAACTTCCACAAATACGTAGCCATAGACGCACAATAAAATGATCTGAGGTCGTTTACCTCTCACACGTACCAAACAGAGTTCTTCTGAAATGCACATGAAAACAAAACGAGAAATTTATAAGACCTAGTATCTGAACACAAGCGCGTGCGCATACATATACGCACTACACTAAGACTAAGCGGAAACATGCAAACGCTCAAACAAGTGCATATGAAAGGCAAAAATGTTTACAACTAATTAATTCATGTTTCATTCACAACAGGTTGTGAAATGAACAACGTTGATGTTGATTTATTTGATGTTACCACTGTTATCATCATTGGTAGTATTGTTGTTGTCCTTTTTATGATGGCTAAGATCATTATGCAGACCCCCCAAGTCAATACTGCTAGAATAAGTATAAACAAAAAAGATCGTTACTTAAGTGAATAATAAAGTTTATGATTGTTATCATAGCATGATATTAGTTGTTGTTGCTATAGCCTTATTTGACACAAGTGTGCGTATGTTGTGCACTTTTTGTATGTCACATCAGCAACAGATTTATGCTTAAAGTCCTTATGACCTTGGCAACGAATGACCTTTGTCACAATTCAATTTACAAAACCTTTATTAATCATTTAAAACAGATGGTTATTAAAGTGATACAAACAAA